AGCGACTTTTAATTACGCTCCACCGCTCACTGAGCGCTACATAACCTTACGGCCCAAACACGGCATTAGAGAAATAATAAACAATAATAAATAAATAAGAAATATGATATTAAAGATATTATCGATAATAGACAAGTTATCTTACATTACGAATTATAACAAACAATTATAACAAGTCACATGGCCTGCGCCATATTAGGAATAGACACTAACACCACTGAACTTAGTAGGCATTACATTCTCCTCTCCCCTACCGTCGGTAAAAGCATTTATTAGAGATATGGTGCGTTCGGGGTGTCGCTAATAGCGCTACTTTGTCATTCTATCTTCGTTGTTTATTAGACGTAAAACAAGGATAGAATGACACAATAGCGCTAATAGCGCTAATCTTCCTGAACGCACCTATGGTGTAGTTTCTAACAATTAATAAATTTAATTATAAAAATGATGAAATCGCCTTGCATCATTTGTAAAAAAATATAGCAAATCAATTTAAAAGTGTAGAAATTATTAAAAATACTAATTTAAAGTTGTTTTAATTCACCAATGATTCATATATATTTAAGTAGTTTTGCTCCTTAAGTTCAGATAGTGCTAGTATCTAATTTTCAATATGGCGACGCCCATGCAATGATCTCACGTCCTCCACATTCTCACCTTCTGACTCAGGTTTCGATATGGTTAATACCTTTGCGCTACTTTCGTAGCATTATTGATGCGGTTTAGTACAGTTTAATGATGAATTTTATATCTGGTTAATCGATTCCAATGACGGAATCAGAGCAAATCAAGGATAAAGAAGACGAAGATCACTTAGTGGTCCGCAACGCAATGCAATCAACGTCAGTGATTGTCAACATGGAGTTACAAAGCGTCATCCGTTATTGTACTTATCGCCTTCGGTCGCATTTAACACAATTGCCACGTATACGCTCGTAAATTTGTAGCTGCCAGTAGCTGCCAGTAGCTGCCAGTAGCTGCAATCATGTCATCGAGTAACGCCGAGCAGAGTATCGCACCGCCACCGAATAAAAAGCTGATGGTATGTTTATCTTGTGCAGCATGAAATTAAAATAATATAATAAAACTTATAAAACAAGGTACTTTATATTTGCTTCGTACGGATTACATAATTCGCTTTAGCTTGATGTCTGCTGTATTTCATGTCCTGAATTTGTCATTTTTTAATATCTTTTTTTATCTTTTTCTTCAAAATATACACTTATATGTATATATTTTATATTTATCTTAAATACAAAAATACAAGAGTACAGATGTAAATAAGAACAAGCAGTTTGAGGTTTTAGATTTAAATATTTTATTGTTGTTTAACCATGGTACAAAATTAAAATAAATTTGAAAAAAAATAGGAATGTTTAGCCTGTCTATTGAAAGACTTTAAGCCCGATTGCACCAACGTTACTTTGACTTTAAGTGAGACATATAACTCTCACTTTCTCTCTTTAAAGCCGAGAGAGTAGGAGAGATAGAAAGAGTTTTAAGCTTAAACTTAAAGTCTATGGGCTGTAGCAGAAAAGCTGACTTATAATCTTAAGACAGTTCTTGTGCGGTACTAAAAACAAGACTTTAAGTTATAAGACATTATCTTAAGATTATAGAGTCAGAATCCATAGTCCGGTCTTATTCTCAAGCAATGTCTTAAGATGCTAATACGGCTCTCTGATTGGTTCAAGCATTAGCTTAAGACCATCTCGAGTCTTGAGCAACGTCTATGGATTCTATACTAAGTCAGCTTTCTACTAAGGGTCAAAGTAATGTTGGTGCAACCAGACCTTAATGTCTTATTTTATGGATGATTCATTATGGATGACACTATATGGAAGAGAAATTGATTTACTTTGAAGAAATCTATGTTGTCTAAAATGGAATTGAATCTTTTATGGAAAGTTTTACTTTCGAAGGTCCATTTGAAATTGTAATTACACCTATCCTCTCTTTTTGAATAATTTTCTTTCTGAAATTGGCATATCCATGAGTATAGATTAGGACTCTAATTTTATTCCGTTTTTCGAAGATACGTGTAAACGTAAAACGTTTATTCGTTTATATTCGCTTTCAAAAAAACATTTACTTGAAGGTAAACGTTTACACGTTTAATTAGCATATCCGTTTATAAAAGAAACATTTTTCCGAATATACGTGTTTTATTATACATTTAAACGAAAATACATTTACATGTATATTTAACATATCCATCTATGAAAAACATCTTTTCGAATATTTTAACGTTTTTTAATAAAATTAAAAATCGAATTTTTTGCATTTTCTCAATTCGTCACACTCCTTAATAAAGAGATAAACGTTTATATAAAAAAAGTGAAAATATTCGGAAAAACGATTCTAATAAACGGATATGCTAATTATACGTCTAAACGTATTTTCGTTTAAACGTATAATAGCGAGCCCTAGTATAGATAAAATATATATAAATATTCGGATAAATATTTATTTAGCTGTAAAAATACATGTGATATTATTAGGAATGGTTAGTGCAAATTCCACACACTTGTACTAAAAAGAATTGTATTAATTATTCAAAAAATTAATGTAGAAATTTGTAATGATATGAATTTAATATGTCCATCAAAAAATACCAAGTTGAGAGTGATTATATTTCATGATTTAAACTTCTTACATTCAGTCTGAAATGAGATGGTTTCTCCTTGAAAAGAACACAATAAACACATTAAATCTTTTGAAATTTCAAATTACATTCTGCTTCTTCAGGAAATATATTTCCAAATAATAAAATTATGAAAATGTTTAAACTTTAATATATTCTATAAAATTTTGAAAATTCTTTTAGATCTGCGCAAACGTATCGGAGCAAGCGCATCACGTATCCAGAGCCAAACGGGGACAAGCAATCGGCAGTATTCGTGGCTTTCGAGGTTGCACAGTATGGCTAACTGGTCTCTCTGGTGCTGGTAAGACCTCCATCTCGTTTCAAATGGAAGCGATTTTGGTGAATCATGGTATTCCTGCTTATGGCCTAGACGGTGACAATGTTAGGAGTGGTCTAAATCGCAATCTAACCTTTAGCAAGCAAGATAGAAAAGAAAATATTAGAAGAGTGGCTGAAGTAGCAAAACTCTTCGCCGACAGCGGACAAATATGTCTCTGCAGCTTCGTGTCACCTTTTGAAGAAGACAGACAGATGGCAAGGCAGATTCATAAAGAAGCTGACTTACCCTTCTTTGAAGTATTTGTAGATACACCCTTGCAAATTTGCGAAGCTCGCGACACTAAAGGCCTTTACAAGAAAGCACGGCAGGGTACCATTAAAGGTTTCACCGGTATCGATCAAATGTATGAGAGACCCACGAAACCTGATTTAATTGTCAAGACTGAGAATTGTACTCCTGAGGAGTCTGCTTCGACTGTAATTGAGCTTTTAGAGAAGCACCGCATCATTCCGCCGTTTGCAAAACCATCAGATCTGATCAAGGAACTCTTTGTTCCGGATTCTAGGCTAGCTTCTGCGAAAATGGAAGCAAAAACTCTACAGTGCGTGGAGATTAATGAACTCGATGTGCAATGGCTGCAAGTTTTAGCGGAAGGATGGGCGACACCATTAACAGGTTTTATGAGGGAACATCAATACCTTCAGGTATGCTTGAAGCAATCTTGAAACATGATTGCATCCCACATGTGTTACCTGAAAATTAAGTTATGCGATTTTATCTATCAACTTAATCATTGAATTATCATAATTTGTCTTCTTTAAGGCTCAACACTTGCGATGTTTGCTCGAAGATGGCAAAGAAATGAACCAATCGGTGCCAATTGTCCTTGCAGTAAGCACGATTGATAAGAACCGTTTGGAAAATTCTCTTGCTGTGACCTTGAGGCACAAACAGGAAATTTTGGCCATCCTACGAAGACCGGAATTTTATTTCCATCGAAAAGAGGAGCGTTGCAGTTGGCAATTTGGCACTAATAACTTAGGTCATCCCTATGTCAGGATGATTTATGATTCCGGCGACTGGTTGATGGGTGGCGACCTCGACGTATTGGAGAGAATCAAATGGCATGACGGACTCGACAAATACAGACTCACGCCAAATGAGATACGTGCTAGATGTCGAAAAATGAAGGCTGACGCGGTATTTGCTTTCCAGCTAAGAAATCCTATTCACAATGGACATGCGCTTCTTATGCAGGTATATCATCTGTTTAAAGTAAATCGTTTTCGTGTCCTTCATATAACAAAATATAAATGAAAATCACCTTGTTTATCACACAGGATACAAAAAAACTGTTGTTGGAGGAGCGTGGTTTCAAAAATCCTGTGCTGCTGCTTCATCCGCTGGGTGGCTGGACGAAAGAAGACGATGTATCCCTATACACCAGGATCCTGCAACATAAGGCTGTTCTGGACGAGGGTGTACTGGATGCTAATTCTACGTTACTAGCCATCTTTCCCAGCCCGATGATGTACGCTGGACCGATTGAGGTGAAAATTGTAACTAGCTTTACGAGCTTTAGCTTTAGTTGTAATTTTACATTTAACTTCAGTCGTTTTGCTAACAAAACTTTGACTTTATCTTTGTTGTGATCCTGTGCATTTTTACTATACTTACTATAAGTAACATAAATGAAATGAACACAATTGTTTTTATGCAGGTGCAATGGCATGCAAAGGCTAGGATGAACGCTGGCGCCAATTTTTACATCGTAGGTAGGGATCCTGCAGGTATACCACACCCAAACAAAGATGCCACGCCTGACGGCAATTTGTATGATCCCACTCATGGTGCCAGAGTACTCTCCATGGCCCGAGGTCTTCATAATCTCGAGATCATTCCATTTAAAGTGGCCGCTTATGATATGCGGAATGGTAAGATGGCATTTTTCGAACCTGAGCGAAAGCAAGATTTTGAGTTTATTTCGGGAACAAAGATGCGAGGTGAGTTTTTGATTATGATATTCTATAATACATAAGTTTTAATATTCTATAAAATATATATAAACACAATATAAGTAAAATGATTAGTGACAAAAGGTAAATAGTAAAAGCAAAATTAAGCAAAACAGACACACATTAATAATAAAATAACATAAAAACAAAGATAAGCACAAGGTACAGCAAGGGTAAAAACGAAGATAAAACGTAGAAAATTAAAATATAGATTTTACTCCTTTTACTTACTTTGTCTTTGTTTCATATGATTAACATTATAGAAATTA